TATTCCTAATTAGTTTTTTATTCAATAGTTCTTTTATTTATTCATCAAATTCCTGTATGTTTTGGTAGGTATAGACCATTTATCTTACTCTAATAATCTTATTTGGATTTGTTAGAGTTATCTTAGCAAATGCCTTATCCTTTTCTCAATGTTCTAGTGAATTTTTCTACTAGTGAATTTTTCACATAATTTTTCTTGCTGCTTATTTATCTGATCTATTAATGATGAATCACACTAAGAAATTCTAAGTGAAACCTCTCGTTGTGTAGGAGTAACCCTATCACCACGCTGGCTGCGCGTAAATTCTATAGTTTGATAAGTATAAGCCCTTGTTATTTTCTGTATAGGAACAGAATGTCCATTAATAGCAAAGATTATTTGATCAATGATTGAGTGCATGGAGAGTATAATCTTTGAAAATTATTTCCTATTATCATATCATGACTAGGTTGATCAATTGCCCATAAAATAGGAATAACATATTGAACTCCTCCAATTTCTATTGGTAATTCTTTGATTATCTTTATATGCATCATGACACTATTATTAGCAATTCTAACTTGCATAGGATTTTTAGCCTTTTTTCACAAGAATTCTGGAAATAATGACCTCTTCCAAAACATGTAGAACAACCACTATCAATATATGCACATAATTTATATTTATTATAATCCTCAATGCATATATCAATTGGAATATAAATGCTATTAGGATTAGTACTAGATATTTCATTACAAGCTTCCGTTTGCATATTAACTTTATCTTCGTATACTAGTTCACTCACAGTTTTGGTTTTATATCCAATTACCTTTCTTTTATCAATAAGATTATTTGGATCTTCATTTAACTCTAAATTAGAATATGACCCCATATCAATGCTATGCCATGTCGTTTGTTTTAAGGTTTTTTTACTTTCATATTTTTCACTTAGTTTCTTTAGTAGAACTAATATTTCTTCGTCATCCTCTTCTGGCTTTTCATGACCTTGTTTTTTCATTCTTATATTGTTGAATTTTGTCTACTTAGACATGGTGTTCTAAGACTCATATTTCTTTGTATTTAGGCTTTATATTCATTCCAATATGAAGTAATCCTTATTCATCAAATAACATTATACTCAATCTATTGCTAACTACAGGGTTCATAAAGAATTCCTCCCAAGTTTTTTTCAATTTCAATTTCATTAGGATTTACTTTTATAGGTGTAATTTTCTTCTTAGGACCTCCTCCTTGCTCATATTTCTGAGCATCGACTATTTGTTTCTTAAAAGATGAGTCTATAGTGTTTACTAACTTATAAACCACCTTCCATCTTAATTGTATGGGTCGTGTTCCTTTATGAATTTTCACTCCTTATGTTAATAGCTTGATAGCTAAAAGCTTTGAGGCAAATGAATCCTCTAAGCTCACATAATATCTTAGTTCACATATATAGCTTACCGCTCTTGGACTTAAGTTACATGTGATACCACTAATTATTTGATCATCAATTATTTATGTCTAATATCACAAATAAAACTCAAGCATTTAACATCCTTGCCAAAATCTTGCAAAGGAGTTATGTATACTTGTACTGCACCAATACAAATATAGCTGTAATTTCCTTTTTCTTTATGTTTTTTATACTTTTCCAGTTTATGATATTAATTTCGGCTGCCTTTTGTTCACAATCTTCGATTATTATGCTTTCTTCCATTTCTTCGCATACATATTTAGTTCTAGTTTTAAAGAAAGAAGTTTTAAATATTTTATCCTTAGTAATCTGGGGAAAATTTCATCTTTCTTTGTTTACTTGATCTAGGTCATTATCTTCAAATGATTAATTAGATCTTTTTAGTTGACCTATAGTCATTTTGCTTTTATATTTCTCATTGTCATTTGATTCTGAATTTTCTAACTCTTCTCCTTCCATCATATTATTTATTTCTTCATAATTTTCATCTTCAAACTCATCACTATATTCAGGTTCTTCATTATACTCATTTTCCTCTTCTATTATTTCTACTATTCCTTTATTATTGCTTAAAACCAATTCTAAAGCCTCGTCTTCTGGTATTTCTATGCAGTCCCAACTACCTAAGGCTTCCATTAGTTTATGATTGGCTTTCTTACATTCATTAGCATAATGTCCTAATTCTCCACAAGACCAACACTTGCATGCTTTCTTTTTCTTAGGGAAATATGTTGCCTTTCTGAAAAAACCTACTTGGTTTTCTATATTTATGTTTATAGTATTTTTTCTTATAGGTTTCTCTTATTGATTTATCAAATTTATTTTACTTATAATTCCTTCTTTTATTATAGTTTTTTCTTTCACATCCATAGTTATTTGGGAAATCCCAACAAGTGAGAAATTGTATTTTCATTTGTTGAGTTCCTGCAACCTTTTTACATTTCTTTTTAATCCATTTTCTTAGAAAAGCAATTATATTACCTAGGGCATCTCTAGCTAAGAATTTCTCTCTCAATTCTTGATATTTTTCACTAATTTCTTCATTAATGGGACTTGGTAATTTATCGTAGAACATTCTAAGATTTGTTTCATTTTCACCAATTTTATAATAATATGTTTCAAATTCCATAATGTAATTATCAATATATTTCATTTTACAAATGGACAAATTACTTAACGTCCTTTGATATTCCATTCGTTTTTCATTAGGATCAACTCTAGGACCAATGAATTCTAACTCAATGTATTGACATAACTGCCTGAACATTCTAGTAGGTGATTCACTAGCTCTTAATGTAGTTTTGACTTCTTCATCTATTCCATCGTAACAGTCTTTTACACTATAATTTAAGAAATTTTCTGAAGTCCATTCAGTGTTTAAATTAAGTACACTACCCATACTCTTTTTCCACTAATCTAAAACATCTTGTCTATCTCTTACACCATCTAATTTAAGCTTATAACCAGTTTGACTTATAGGATCAAGAGTCACTTCTTCTTGTTTAGGTATATGATTAGGCATAACCTTGACACTAAACCGGGTAGTCTTCCCTGGTATGTATCTTGGTCGTGTGCAACTTCCTTCTCCTTGATACCTAGGTCTTTGGATAACATTGTTTACGTTAATGTTTTCATTAATAATTTCTTCTCCAGCATCATTATTATCCATTACTCTTTTACCGAGTTTATTTTCAATCTTTTGTCGAACAACTTCTATGGGTAGAAAGTCTAGATCAATTAACTTCATTAATACCATTTGTTGATATGAATCTTCCTCTAAAGTAACATAATTATTTTCCTCTATTTCATTATCAGAAGAAATCCCTTTTTCAGAAATTAAGTTCATGATTTCGTTAAACTTATTATGGTATTCTTCCTTATCATATAGGGCTTGTAATTCCTTAAGCATTTTCTCCTGAAGATGATGGCTCATCTTTAGTTTCTTTATTCTTTTCTTGGTTACTAGTAGGTCTTTTAGAGAGTGATACAATAAACTTTTTATTTTTATCTAAATTTTGAAAAGGATACTTATATTTATACGGGACAATTTTCTCTTTATTAGGTGATACTTCTTTTCCGAATTGATGCCTAACCTCGTTTATTAAAGCAAGTTGAACTTGTTTAACCTTTTCTTTTAGATCGCTTACTTTTTTTTATAATATCGGTTGTTGTTATTGATATCTTATTTTCGATATTAATACAACGAGCATGTATATTATCAACTTTCGATCTTAATTCATCAATTTGATCTACTATATAATTAAGGACTGAGCCAAAATTACTAGTATTTTCAGGAATATGATAATAATGCTTAAAATCAGGTTTCTTACACTCAGTAGAAAATCTAATATTCTCCAGATTTACTTAATTATTAATTTAATTAACAACTTAAATTAACTCTTAACCGTATGGCTCTGATACCAAATCTCGCAGCTTTACAGTTTCTAATTTATAATAGCAGTATTGTCTTTCTTAATAACATATTTCATTTATACGATAGTAGTATACAAATATAATACTTTATTGGGAAATTCTCTTGGGTAACATTATAGTTTTTACATTTCTCAGTGGTGAATTGCGAAAAATCTTATTATCTTTGGTAAACCTAAATTTTTTATATTATTCAATTATAACATTAATGATAAAATTTAACTATATATTTAACTATGGTTAATTAGTTTTTTTTTTAATATTTATTTTAGAAATATTTTTGTTAAAAAAAATCACCCATCTCCCCAACAGCCAGCCACGTCCTCTCCCGCTCCAACCCACGCCGACGCCCAGCCTTACCTTCGCCGGTGCACCGGCGGCCGGCCTCCCCCTCCCCCCCCCCTGCGCGCCTCTCCTTCCCCTTGAACCACCATGCCTTCCCCGAAACCAACTCCCCCAACCCTGAAATCCCCCTCGAAAATCCTTAAATTCTCAATCTCTTCTCCCTAAATGAAATCAGATTAATTCCTCAAATTTTCGAAGCTTTAGGGTACGATTTTGCTCGGTTTTTTGGTTTAATTTCGCTGGGTTTGATTTCGCTCAGTTTTGAGGGTTATTTTTGCTCGATTTAGGGTTCCTTATGTTCGATTTAGGGTTTGAAGGGGCGTTTTTCGCCGGTAATGAAGGGGACACCGGCGATGGGAGGAGAAGGCTTGGTCATAGGAGAGAGAGCAGGGGTCACCGACGGTAGGAGGAGAATGTTCGGTTAGACGAGAGAGAGGAGGGTGATGGAGGAAAGGTCGCCGACGGTTTGTGAGGGTGTGGGAGGGCCGATTAGGGTTCTTCAAGTGTGGTGGGCTGGGTGGGGGAGGTTTCCAGGTGGTTTTGGGGGTGGGGGAGGTTTCCAGGTGGTTTCGGGGGTGGGGTAGGTGAAGTTCCAAGTAGTTTCAAGGGAAATGAGGTGGAGATCGAAGGGGGAGGGGAATGGTTGTTCGCTGGCGCCGGCAAAGGGAGGGGTTGGTTGGTGGTTCGGTGGGAGGGTTAGGTGTTTTTTTTAAAAAAATTTAAATTTAAGTTAATTATTAAAAAAATAATAAAACTAACCATGGTTAATGATTTTAACTAAAATGATAATTATGTTTGGTAAACAATAATACAATGTTATCAAAGATAATAAGTTTTTTGCAATTTACCACTGAGAAAGTCAAAATACATGGTGTTACCAAAGAGAATTTCCCTACTTTATTTCTAATACAAACACTTAGCCTCTTGATATATAAGTACTACTGAAAAGAGCAAAACGACACCTCAAAAACAATATTGAAGAAAAAACATATAACAGTATTAAATTTATTATAACAAGCTCAAACTTAAAATAACAGTATTAAAATAGCAAATGACGTTTTTTCAACACTTAGCGAAAAAAAAATTCAACGTAGGTATGGACCTTCGTTGTCCCTACCTGGTAGTGGGCAATACTTTCTCCAAACTTTTTCTGATTTTGTAGTAGGGTTTTCAAAAAAAAAAAAAAATAAATAAAATAAAATAAAATAAAATGCTAGTTGATATCAAAAATGAATATTTAAAGGATAATAGGCAAAATTTCGTTATTATAAATCAGGGGATTCAGGGCATGCAAATGTTTTTGTTATTGGAAATATGAGGCGCACCATATCCTGTAATATTTCATGGTTAGTGACAATATGAAATGCAAGTTTTTTAATTCAATCATTTTAACTTAATCCAAACTTACTATGCTACAAAACTCTCATAAAGCAATCACTTTCTTCAACACTATAATACCCCCAAAATTCCCCCCAAATTCGATTTTTAGGGTTTGGAATCTGCTACAATGTGCATCATTCTGCAATCTCAAAGTCCATTGGCGCAAAGACGAGAAGCTCGACGAATCAATTCGAGCCGAAAAAAAATGGCGGCTTTGCGCTCGAGTCGTCAAAGAGGTTCTCAACGAACCAGGTCAGGTGATGCCATTGTGTTACTTAGAGAAGCGTAGAGAAAGATTGAAGCTCAACGTCACTGCAAAAATATTCATTGATCAAAACCCTCTTCTTTTTGATACTTATTTTGATCGAATTCGACCTAAATCGGATTCTGTTACTTTTATTAAACCTAGTGAATCACTTCGAAGGTTTTTGGAAGAAGAAGAGCGGATTTTTGCTGAAAATGAGATGTTAATTGTTTCGAAAATTTGTAAAATGTTGATGATGGCGAAAAATAGGGTGATTAATGTGGAGAAATTGGTTCATGTTAAGCGAGAATTCGGGTTTCCGAATGATTTTTTGAGCAAATTAATCCCCAAATACCCTAATTACTTCAAATTTGTTGGTGGTTTTGATGAGAAATCGTACTTAGAGTTGGTTTCTTGGGAACCCGAGTTTGCGAAATCAGTGATAATGTTGAAGGCTGAGGAAGAAGAGAGGTTAACTGGGATTAGGGTTAGGCCTTCATTTGATTGGAAACTGCCACCAGGGTTTTATATCAAGAAAGGAATGAGAGAGTGGGTTAGAGATTGGATGGAGATGCCTTACATTAATCCTTACGATGATGCGTCGCATTTAGACTCGAGTTCGAGGGAAAAGGAGAAGAGGATGGTAGGGGTACTTCATGAGTTATTATCGTTGTCGTTGTTTAAGAGGATTCCTGTTCCGATTTTAGGGAAGTTTAGTGAGGACTACAGGTTGTCGAATGCATTTTCGAGTGTGTTTACTAGGCATTCGGGTATATTCTATATGTCTTTGAAGGGAGGGATTGAGACCGCGGTGTTGAGAGAGGCATATAAGGGTGGTGTATTGGTTGACCGGGATCCGTTGCTTGAGATTAAGGACAAGTTTGTTGAGTTGTTGGAGGAGGGGTGGGAAATGAGGATGGAGGAATTGAGGTTGAGGAGGGAAAGTGCTCGTAATCGCAATAAGTCTGTGACGCTTGGGAGTTCGGAGTTGAAGTCTCAAGAGGATGATGCTCATCTTTGAAATGGGGAGAAACGTGCTCAAAATTGTTGTTATGCTGATGGCAGAGATTTTCGCACTGGTTGCAAATGCTCCTAGCGTTCAATTGTTCACAGTGGCCTTATATTTTGGGTATTGGTAGGCATGGTAGCAAAAGTAGAGTTGGTGGAATTCAGTTATATGCTAGAAAATATTGATTCCACTTCCAATTTGATGTTGCTAGTTATGTTTGTTTACTTTGGATTTTAAATAATTCAATCTTAGGGTAGTAGAGAACCTGTTCCATGGCATTTTTATACTTGTTCTCTATAATTTCTCGTTGTATGACTGCTCCTATGTTCAAGTATAATTTCTGCTATAAATAACTTGATACAAATTGTGAACACTTTGTGCAATTGGTGCTATACCATCTATATGATTTTATGTGATTACAGCTGAATATATGCTAATTTAAATTCTCTAAGTGCATTAGACATTGTTTGACACTGAATTGAAAATGCTGAAGGTTGAAAGAATGTCAAAGGAAAACATATATGATTTTATATTTTAGTTATTCACACAACTGAAATATGGCTTTAGCTGTATTTGGCTATCTATTATTGTCAAAAGCTACTTGAAATGCTTTCCAATAGCTATGATCAGATTTGTCCAATGTTTTTGTGTTTGCCCTCCCTAGCTAAATTCGGCTTCAGTTTTTGTTTCTGTGTTGATTAAGAGTTCTAAAGGATTAACATCGTGTACTTATGAATGTATGGTATATGTGTGAACATTGATCTGGCAACCTTTTAAGCATGATTTCATTGCAATCTTTCTTAAAATGAGGGTACTCTATCCTCAGATGGTTTTTGTCTAGTGTGGAGATACCGAGGTTTATAGTAAAAATTATTAACGGAAATTATGTTAGGAAAGTTTGCACGTTTCGTACTTAGTAGACATGCAGTTTGCAATTTATTTGATTGATTGTCTTTCTTATGCAGGAGACGGGAAGGGAACTTCAACCAGAGGACAAAATAGGAGCGAAGTTGTCATGACAACAGCTAGGAAGGGCAAATATTATAATAATCTAGTAAATGTTGCTCACACAAAAGAAATGGCATTTTTTACAACCGTCCGGAACCTAATCTGCTTTATATCAGCTGGTATTCAAAATCACTCCCTTGTCATCTTCTGTTATATACCATCAAAGAAGCACCTTCTTGTGACCAACAAGAAGTGCATGAATGCCCTACTATTTAAGTAGAAGCTAGTTAGATTTTACTTAAGTACAGAAGAACATTATTCTTTTATCTAGCATCTGTGCCCTTTTAATTTGTCATGCTGCTCAAGATGGAGAGAAAAAATATTGCTTTATGGGTTTTCATTACTACATTCTTAGCTGTGATATCTAAGTCAAATTGTCAATATAGACCAGCCCCTGCACTTCCATTCCCGAGTTTTCCTGCACTCCGTCCTTTGTGCCTTTCCCAATTTGCCCTTGTTAATCATGCATGTTCTATGCTTCCTTATTCACCGTTGCCCCCTCCTGCTCCACCTGCTCCACCAACTCCTCCTGCACCTGCTCAACCCCCTTGCCCCCCAAAAACTGGCCATCGACATGGACACCATCACAGGCATAGGCATACCAGTTCCGCCCCTGTCAGTGCTGCAGCAGAGGAATGTTGCCGCTGGTTGAAAGAAGTCGACACTCAATGTGTCTGTGATTTGCTCGTTCGTTTGCCTATATTTCTGGCCAAGCCTTCACATGATTATACGGTTAATGTTAGTGAAGACTGTAGTGTCACCTACCAATGTCCAGGCCGGGTGATGAATTGATTTGTGAGATTGAATTTGATTTATAAGGTGTTAGGGTATGTACTATGTAGGCTAAAGGGGTATGGTAATTATTTATGCAACTTTTTAAATAATAGCTGTTTATGTATGGTGCTTTATTTTGTCTGTACTCTTCAAATAACATAGCTCTTTGGATATGTATAACTATTAATTTCTTTCACATCGGATTTTCTTTCCCTTGATTGAACTGTTGTAGCACTTTGAAATTAGTCTATCATGGTGTCACAAGCGAATATCGCAACAGCAATGCAACACCTTGTGAAATTCTGGCCATGGATGATGGCGTATGGGAAGGCCAAAGTGATTGTAAGCCTAATGCTTTGTTTAACATAGTAGCTTTGAAAACTGTCTTGCAGAAAGGTTCGTTCTTATAAATACACATTGAAAGTGTCAATTCCTTGTCAAATGGTTTTAAAGTCACCATCTCTATCTCCAGTGGTGGATCTTAAATTTCACAATGTTGTTTAGTCATTATTTTTGTTATCTCCAATGGTTAGATCTAATTAGTAATTACAAATATTTGAAATTCATCTTGGGGCTTATACCTCTGGTAGACTGGTAGTGAAAGTGTAAGGGGTTCGTCAGGTGACTCAAGTCACTCAACCAGGTTGGGTATGTAGACACTAATACAAATATCCGAGATATTTCTACAAAAATAAAACTACCTCGTTATTATAGATACACTGTTTTGGCCTTTCTACACACTACTTCCATATATATATATATATATATATATATATATATATATATATATATATTATATATATATATATATATATATATATATATATATATATATATATACCTTTAAAAAGTTTGAGAAAATTCTTATAAATAGTGTTTGGACAATTACACAGTATATTTGCTTATTTGTCGTAATTCATGTTAATTGATTTTATTATTTATCCCTTTAAAATATTTGTTTATACATTTTTTTCATTAATGTTGTCAATAACTCGATTTGTGACATAAGGTTAAACTGAAAAGGCTCACCTGACATAACTAGTTATAGCGCGTATTACTACTAAGTAAATGGGAGGGAAAATGAGGAGAAAAAGTGAATGATAATTTTGGGTAAAAAGTTAAAAATTGAAATGAAGAGAGAAATGAAAACACTTTTGTGTTAAAAAAAAAAATGAAATGAAAACACTTTAAGTAAAAAAAAAGTTAATAATTTATAGTGTTTAATGTGAAAAGCTAAACAACACTATTTTCTCTTGTTATTCCATGTTTTCCTTTCTTCTAACTCAATTTAACATTCTCTCATCCCAAAAAAAAAAAGAGTTAATTCAAGTTTATCACTATGAGAAACAAACCTTGTTTATCTAAGGGTGATGTCGTTATTTCCTTTGGGAAAGTAAGGGCAATACTGACAATTTTGTTATTGACAGTTAACTTCAAATTTTGTTGACCATGTCACGATGTTACTCTTCGTGTCGTCTCTCTCCTCGGTAAATTTCTCTATCCTCAGTAAATAACTTTTTTCTCTCCTAGTAAATTGTTCTCCTCTCTCCTCAGAAATATCACCATTATCACCATTGGAGTATCCTAGTAATTGAGAAGTCATGAAATTTAACATTCTTCTGAACAAACTCCGTAAAATGAACTCTAAATTCCAATCAAACAAAACCCGAAACAATAAATTTCAAATTAAACCTCAAAAAATCACAAATTAATGAATTATTTTGCAAAAATGGGGGAAAATGTAAGAGATTGAATCTATCACGCGGCTTCACCACTGGTTCCCAAAAGCTTGTGAGAATCGAGCTTCATGATCTTGTCTTCGTTGGTTTTGTGCACCAAAATGCTGTTGACTGCTGATGTATCTGCTACAATAATTGCGAGTCCATTGCCTACTAATTTGAAAACACACTCCATTTTTGCTCGATCAACAAATTACCTCTTTGCTTCCAGAATTTTAATGGCCTTCTCGATGGAGCTATAATCTTAATTTACTTTGCTTTCTCCTTTATTGTTCAACTTCTTCTCTTGTTATTCTCTCTTACTCTCTTCTGACAAAGTTACTTACTTTACTTTCTCTCCCCACGGTAAAAAGTTAACCCCTCTCATTGACCATTTACTATACCGTTAACAATACGTTCAAGGCATACAATTGGCATCTGAGCACATGGGTGTAGACACCTAAAAATATCTCTCCAAAATCAAACTCGATGATAAACAACTTTTCACCGCCATTATTGGTCGGATTGACTATTTAATCTTGAAGTGTTTAAATTCATATTTCCATTTCATAAATCAACCCAATTCTTAGCCCATTTCCACAAACCATAACTTATTTTCCTCTTTTCGTGCCTTTGAACCGAAAATAATTCATTTTGTGTCCTTTAAAATCATTCAGTTCGTGTCCTTTTTATAAAAACGTTTAGTCCATTTTATTTTGGTCCATAATCTGGGTCTAATGATTGAATAGTTGGATGAGGTTTGAAAACAACTTTCCAACGATATATTATAAGCCCAAATCCGAGTTATAACGAATAAGTTATGACCAAAATATTAAACTGAGCCCAAACCGAACCTAAGTCCACCTTACCTATGACCCAATCATCATGTTGAGGGTCCAAAGGATTTAATCCCATTTCTAAACCAATTTGGATTAATTGGAAGCTTGTATAAGTTTCTATAAGATCTTAATTATTCCTTTTTGAAAAAATAAGATTAAAGAGTTTGAAATTGAATAAAACTTTTCTTTTTGAAAGTCCTAATTCTATTCAAATTGAAAGACGTTCAAAGATAGACAGATATTATTTTCGTGTCTCATAGTTTTTATCCAAATCTTATATGGTTGAATAGTCCTTGATATTATCTTTCCAATGATATATTATAATATCAATTCCGAGTTATAACGGAAAAGATATGAATGAAATATCAAACTCTATCCAAAACTGACACCGTCCCACTTTTTCGGCCATATCTTTTATTCTACAAAGGATTTTAATCTGATTCAAATTGAATTAAAAAGTAGACTTCAACATCTTTCCGACAACGTATTATTTATCTTATTCCGCTTTCTGTATCAAAAGATATGATAAAAACAAAAACCGCAAAAATTGTTGTCTATCGCAAGAGTATTATTCTAATTTGAATTCTTATCTTTTCTTAATTATTCGACCCTTATTTTTCCTTATAAATAGAGGTCATATCTCCCCTTTTTCAATCATAAACAAGCTTGATCATCAAATAATTCTCTTCTCCCTCTTTAGCCTAAACACTAGCCTCCCCATTCTTTCACTATTCCTTCCTTTAAGCACTCCAAGGAGTCCATATAATACCTGAAGTTCTATACTTTAACCAAGGCGTGATAGGTAGAATTAACTGAGGGTTTGGACCAAATCAACTCTACTTTTTATTTAATTTAATTTCCATTTGATTAATATTTTTTGAAGTTACTAACAATTTATTCATGATGTATCAATTTTAAGGAACGCGCGTAATGTGAGTAATTAATTAATTACTTATTTTATTTTAGTATTGCTAGCATCATGATTACGTTAGTTTATATTTGATTTGACTAACGTTATTATTGTTAAATTTCTTCCAATTTATTTTATTTTTATTTATGATTAACATATTGCATGTTAAAGGGAATATGTAATTGAAAATCACGCCTAATAAGATAATTTGGACAACCGGTTTAGGTTCCTTTTTAATCTTGTTGTTAATTAAAGTGATCACTAATATTTTAGAATTATGTGTTGCATTAATATTAAACCAATCTAGCATAATAATAGTTTGGAACAAATTGAATATTTTGTTTATATGCCTTTGAGATCGCAAGAATCACTTCTCAGTATAAGAATCGAGTAGAGGTCAATACGGGCGAATGTGACTCCATGACTCACTTCGTACCATCATCCCCGATCCTCCTTACGTGGTTTCGAACCATATGGAGTTAGTAATTGATGTGTCTATTTTATATAGTATTTTACCCCCAGTCCCTTGGTCATAATTAGTAGTGTTTTTGGCTCTTTAGAGCCACTTTTATTACTAATTGGTGTTTTCTAGTGTTTTCGTAGATTTGGTTGACTTTTGCAGGGATTTACACTTTTGGAGTATTTTCCCGAGATATTTTGGAGCAATCACGAGCATTGGAGAAGCACGACCAGATTTTATAGCCCAGCGTCGGTTAGAGCCATTGAACCGGTGATTAAGGGCTCGGTATAGGTGATACCGGGGCATTTGGACCGAGTATTCAAGACCCAAAGAGGAAATCCAGATTCGCCCGAAGAATTGGAGCCCAATCGTAGTCCAATTAGTGGCCCAAGAGAGCCACCCGGCCAAAAAGGCTGGCGCCCGGCCGGGCGGGAGAAGAAAAGGCCGGCGCCCGGTGACGCGCCCGGCCGGGCGCGAGATTCAACCTGAAGAGCAAAAAGGCGCGCCCGATCGGGCGCGTGTTATTGTTAGGAGACGATTAGCGTTGTTTTAGTTTGTTTTAATTTAGGATTTGTACGGAGTATAAATGCTTCTCTGTAAAACAATTTTAGGATCTCTCTTTACTCTTTTCTTTACTCTTTTAATTGTTTTCTTAGATCTTCTCTCTCATATACTTTTGTTCTTAATCCACTCTTAATCCCAGATTTTTTTGGTAACTATTTCTCTTCTCTTAATCTTAGTTGTTTATTTTATTCCTTTAATCATGTCTTGCTTTATTGCTTTGATTAGTTTAGTTTCTATTATGTGTGAGTGGTTTTCTTTCTAGGGTTTATGGGGATCCATAAATAATATGAAGGGGTAATTTATTGTTGTTGATTATCAATGCTAGATTAATTTCCTATTGATTGATTTAATGCTCTGTGACTAGATTAGGCCTGATCTTTTATGCATGAGTTTGACAATATTGATTCGAGATTCGACATATTAGAATTGATGTTTAGGTCTAGTTTCAATAGGCAGGTTAATTTATAAATGGTTAAGTCGAGATTCGAAAGATGAGATTTAATACCGATAAATTAATTGTGTGATTGTAATACGTAGCGAAAGCCCTTTATGATCTGATTACTTATGCATTGATGAATGATTATAATATTCAACCCTGGAATATTATTTATTGGTGAACCTATGCCCTAGATCCTTTTATATATTATTTTCTCCTTATTCTTGATCTCCGTAGTTTAGTTTATTATTCAAATATAAATATTGGTTACCTCATAATCTAGATTATATTAGTTAATTAGGAATAGAAAGATCCGTTTCTCTGTGGGTTCGACCTTAATTCCTTATCTACATTAGCTAGAGGATTTAGGTATTACTTTTGATTTGGGGATACGACTTTACCTTGTCAAAATTTGGCGTCGTTGCCGGGAAAACGATTTTATTTTTATTTCTGATTATTTTTGTAGTCTAGGTTATTTCCTTTTTGTCTCAGAGAACGTTAGTTCTTTGAG